ATTTGTCAAAGTTTTGACAAACCTTTTGAATTTGCTGACATTGGCTGTGTATACGAAGTTATATTTTATTCTGAAATCAATGAATTCACAATAAAACATTCAAAAGATGTGGATAAATATGTGATAATTATAAAGTAATTGTTATTAATTTTTTAATTTCAAATTTATTAGCAATTCACATGGGTTGCAAGATATATATATAATATACAGTGTAACCCGGATATAAAAGAGTTGTCGGGACCACAGAAGTCTCTTATATCCGCATCTGGTATATTTTATATACATTAACACAGGCTCTAATTTGGGACCAGAGAAAATTTCTCTTATATCCAGGTTACACTGTGTATATATATATATATATATATATATATATATATATATATATATATATATATATATATATTGTATGACAAAAGAAAAACTTCAGCCTTTGATGGACTTTATCAAGGCAAATGTAAAGGTTTTATTGTGTAACAAGTATTTATAAACAAAAATAAAAATTATTTTAAATAATAGGTTATTAGTTTAATCATTTTTTGTTTTTTTTTAACATTGATAACATGTTGTGTATAAGATCCTTTTTGTGTTCATAGATACATTTTTTAAATTTCTGCAAGTTTTCCCAATGTATTGTAAGGAGTAGCTGTGGAAATTTATTTTATAAATACCTGCTTTGAGGTCAATACCCAGTGACAACAATCTGTTTCATGCTTGAACACAATCTTCAGGCCATGTGTGTTGTGTTTTGACTCAACTGGTCAATGGTGCATGTTGGTCCATTTAACCCATAAATATAGCATACCTTACAACTATATTTTTTATCATATGCACTGTAATGTAATCTTTATAAGGTACATACTAGTTCATAGCCAGGGGCTGTAAGAACATATGAACTAGCACAAAGAAATATTTTAAGTAAATACAACAGGTCTACATTGCTATGCGACTCACAGTTTTTTTTCTTTTCGTTCCAATGGTAGCTCTCTCTACTCACTGACAGTTCCCTTCAAGAGAGATAATCTAGCATCATGGTCGGTACAGGACTGCATGGCAGTCACTACTACCACGCACATACACATACATATATATATATATATATATATATATATATATATATATGCAATCAGTTCAAGGGTCTCATGAATCATGAAATTCTATGATGCAGGGCTCCCAACACTACTATATTACAATTGTCATAAAGTAATATTCATATTAAATACAAATATTTTTGTAACCTAATTATATAGAATATTGGATCATATATAATATAGGTTTTGTGGTCCCTATCCCAAATTTATGATACAACAGCCAACGAAACTATAAGAGGTACCACCCACTCTACTGCATCTCAATTTTCATAATGTAGTATTCATATAAAATACAAATTTTATTGTAATCAAATTATGTACAATAATGGATCATATGCAATGTAGGTGAGAAAGTCAACTAGAAAAATTGAAAATAAATACAATATATCAAAATACAAATTAGAGACATGTTATAATAGATCAGTCCATCTTAAATAAATCAACAATGTTTTGCGACAATTTTTAACGTGAGATTTTTAACGTGAGATTTCTCTTGCTAAAAAGTTAAGTAATTTTAATACATTCAACATTATAGATAAAAAAAATAGTGAATTTTATATAGCGCTTTTTTTTTTTAGACTTAGCATGAGCAAAACAAATTCATGGATTTGGATGAAAAAAAATTTGAAGACACAAAATGACTTCAAAATCTGTCAAAAACTTTCATCCGTTAATAATTGACTATTTTTTTTTTTTTTTTTTGCAAAACAGGACCCCAGTTACCAAAAGTTTGCTCTGAATCATAAAATAAAAAATTCAATAAAACTAAGATCTTAACTGATTACAGAGACTTTTGTTTTTATGAATAAGATAAATTATGGACACTATTGTCTTAAGAAAAAGAAGTTTTTCAATGAATTTTTACAAGTTTTCATTTTTGAATTTTTTTTTAATTAGAATAATTTATAAAGTTTGAAATCTTTTAAAATTCTGTATTGATTTGAATCAGTTTGGTGATATTAAGCAAAAATTATATTTGCTAATCACAAATGAAAAACTTAATACATTCAGCAACCCCCAATATTTTGAAAAGAATTTTGAATTTTTACTTTTGTGTGTGTATAAATGTGCTGAGTTTTTTTTTTTTAAATATGGGCATCCATGCATGACATTATCAGAAAATTAGTGTTAACTATGGTAAAATTAAAGCCAAATTAGCTAAAATTTAATTACTTAGAATATTTTAAATTTTTTTTGATTACTGAGTACTTAAAAATTATATAAAAAAGGTTATATTCCTCAATAATTTTTACAGATATGTCCACTGTAGAAAAAAAAAACAAAAAACTTCCAGCTGTCAGCTAAGCTGTAAAACTGTCAAGGCCTTAAATAACACCTACTCCCAGGTTAAAAATGCATTCCTGCAATATTTTAAACTAAAAGTAATATTTGTATCAAATCAAATAAAGTTTCCGAAATGTACGTTTTATTTTTGAAAAAATTTTTAATAAAGAGAATTACATTGTGCAGGCAGGTGGCTAAAAGCCTAAAATCAGTGATAAAAAACTACTACTTCCAGTCAATTCAAATTAGTTTTGAAATACAGCAAAGTATTTTGTTTATTGGAATAAATTAAATTTAAATCTGTTAGATTGAAATTAAAACTAAAAAGCTGAAAAAAAAAAAAAAAAAGTTTCATTTTTAAAAATTCGTATTAAAGTTAAACCACCTTAGGCATTGCGTGTTTTTTTTTTTTTTTTTTTGGTTGGAGGTACCTAAATCCGAGAGCTTGCCCCTTAACTCATACAGGGTGTGTCAGAAATAACTCACATAATTAACTAGATGAAAGCACTATTGCCACTAAATGTCTTACAATTATGTGGGAGGTGTTTCTGCCAGTCCATAAACATAAGCCGCGTTACAAAAATGAATTTCTCGAAATTTCATAAAATTAGATAAATATGGTGTGGGAGGGTAAAACAGAAAAAAAATATTTTTACCAAGATTTTCTAAAAAAAAGAAACGTTTCGAAAATAATGTTTCCTTTATCAATTATCTGATTTTTACAAAACTTTCCAAATTAATAATGTGTTTTTCACCACAAAAATTTCCGATAATAATTTATGGTCACCCGTTGACGCAAGAAAAACAAAATTTCGGAGGTTCTAAAAAGGATTACAAAATATAATTTAATAAAAATCCTTTTTTTTTTTTGTCTTTCCTCTTCTTAATAACAAAAATTTTGAAGCTAAAACTTTGTTTTTTATTAAGTTTTGGGTTTTTTTTTGTTTGTTTTTTTTTTATCATATGCGCATATTTTAGCGAATTTTTGGTTTGGAGATATCTACATAAATTATTTAAAAAGCGATTTTATTGAGCTATTTTTAGAGAGGTTCTTATTATTATAGATATTTAGGTATGAAAAACACTTTGCGAAGTATTTAATTAATGATATAATATTAATAATTAATTTATTTTATTTATTAATTACTGTTTGACGTTTTAATTTTGACTTAAAAATAATTTTTTTTAAAATAAGAAAAAAGAAAATTCTCTTTTATTGTTGTCTTTATCTTTTAATTAACGTTATGCATTCTTATATCAGACGATCTTTCAACTTTCGTGAAATTATAATGAAAAAGACAAAAAAAAACAAAAATCAATTATATCGAGAAAATCGGCGATGTAATTACCTTTTTTTCCGTTTTCTTTTCAGATTTTGACCAAATTTTATCGGTTTCTCAATTAATCAACAAACATACCGCCTTATTCTTTTAGTTCAGAACAATAACATTGAACTTGAAAATAATGAGAGACAGAAAATGCAAACATTTCTTGGTAAAAGTGTTGTGCATAACAATACAGCACAAAGATGACACCCAACCGGTGATGAACATTTTTCGTCCCTTGTGTAAAAAAAGTACGATTTTTATATTTGCAAAAATCCTAAGGGCTTATTCATTTATTTAAACTAGAACCCTTGTGAACAATTGTAGCAAATTGTCTTTTCGCTGGAAACTTTTGCACACAAATAATACTTAAGCAATTTTCTAATCGTGAATTACATTGCCTGCTGTTTAAACTTTAAACCAACATCACCTTGTTTTAAGACTGAAGGCATCAATTCCCAAAGTGGGAGCAATTACCCCCAAAGAGAGGGTGTAGGAAATTCTGTAGTTCATCTTTTTTATATATTAAACATCCTAACGTCTAAATTCAAACAATAATAAAATAAAGAAAACATGGATGTGTCTGTATATCATTTGTATTTACAAACATATGTACATGAATTCAAAAATAATTCATAGTAGTCTTTAATTGAATTAAAGTCTTTGCGTTGTTGGTCCACAGAAAAATCTGGGGTTTAGGAAAGACTTTTATCATTAGCAGATTCACTAATTGTTATTATTGTTGAAGATGATTCATTGGAAGTCACTGACACATGATCATCAGTGAGGATTCACCAACCACCCAAGTTGTTTTTGTTGTAGCTGGTTCATTTGAAGTTGCCAACACGTTTCTTTGCTGAAAATTAAAATCTCGGCTTCTTTAAGAAATTTTTCCCAATAGTAGGTTCGAGAAAAATAGGTTTTCAGTTTTCTCTGATTGGTCAAATATTTCACTTGGTGATGTTAATTTCTAAACAATAGATACTTTCATTTAAATTGTGTGTGTTGTATTGTGAAATCTTTTTGGCATGTTTATAATATTGTTTTTGTTTAATGACATATCAACCTCTCTCAGTTATTTAATGCTGAAATTTAAATATTTTGTACACAAATCTATAATTTCTTTGGAGATAAAAATGGTTTTAGTGATACAAGTCTTACTAATTAACCCATAGTTGGGGGAGAAAAGGTGGATTCATACCTTTCCCAAGTGTATTTGCATGTAAGCAAATATAATAAACCTGAAATAGGAATTTGGCTTTCCAATTAACAATTCTGAGCCATTATCCATTACTCCACCCACACAGCACCTGGTATTCCTAAGTGGTCACTCATCTAGGTAGTGGCCACACTCAATGTTGCTTAACTTCAGCGATCATACAAGACCTGATGTTTCAACATGATATGGCCGTAAGCCCTAGACATTTAGGGTTGTCAGTTTTAAAAATAAATGTTTGTCATACTGACTTGACGGGTCAATTTTTATGATGCACCAGCATTTTTAACTGAATTAGGATTTTGGCTGATTGTCAAAGTTGAATTAAAAAAAAAATATCTAGATAAACTTTCTTTCTTTGGATTCAATTGTATATTTTAAAAATTCCACCATTTCAGTTACTCTAAAATATATTACATTTTTCATAATATATATATTCATATAAAATACAAATTTTATTGTAACTTAATTAAAATACATAAATGGATCCTATGCAACATAAACTTGAATTTTTTTCTTGTTAAAAAACTGAATAATTTAAAACTTTTAACATTACAAATAAAAAATTGTGAATTTTATATCGTGTTCTTTCACGATTTAGCATGAGCAAAACAAATTCAGGGATTTGGATAAAACAAAAAATGAGAATTACAAAATCCATGAAAAAGTTCATCCTTTATTAGCCAGTAATTTAAACAAGTTCATTTTAAAATATATGTGAAAATTTTTTTTTTGATAAGATATGTTGTAAAAGTAAAAATTCAAAAATGGATTGTATTTCAATTGTCGTCCTAAATTAGGTTCGAAATACAAAAACGTTAGGAACTTGGAAAAATTAGTTAATGACGCAGTAATCTGTTGTGATGGTTGGTTTTCAATGTCCGATATCGACTGATTTTTAATGAACACCAACCTGAGCCCAACTGGCGACTGCTAAAAACTACTTATTATCTGTGGGAGAGTCCATTACAGTTTTTTTAGGTATTATGGCATTAAATAGATACCGAGGGTATAGAAAAAAACTGTGGCAATGACCCCAAATTATCAGGGCCTCCTGTTTAGTACATTAAAAACCCATTAAAATATTTTGCATATTATTTGTATAGTCAAACTAAACTTTTTTAATTAAAAAATATTTCAAACCATAAATAAACTTTTCATCAACTACTTTCCACACGCTTTTATATATATATTATGCACTGTTACATTAGAACAACAACATACCCACTATAAAACTTTACATCTTGTTTATCTGTTAAAAAATTAAAATATCATGCTTCTTGGTGGGAAATCACAATGCTTTTTAAAAACCATTTATTCTGAAATCAATAATTTTTAAAACATCTCTCACTTCCATTTTTAGAAAAAAGTTTTAAAAGTGGAAAAGAATTTATATATTTGCAAAGAACAGTGAACATAAAATAAAGAAAAGTATTAACTCTCATTTCGAAATTTTTTTAATTTAAAAGATTTTATTTTTTCCAATAAGAAAAAATGTTTTTTATTCATTTTCACAAGAAATTTTTAAAAAACCATTTAAAATTTTTCTATTTTATGTTTTTCCATGGACAAATAAAATTTATTTTTTTCTATTTTGACTATTTTGTTTGATTATTTTTTTAATGTTTTGAATTTCTTTCAAATTTTAAAATTTTAATTTTTTATTTTTGTGTTTTTGATTATATATATATATATATATATATATATATATATATATATAAACACAAATGTCACTGTGTCAATTTTTCAAATTTAAAAATAGAGGCTGTAACCATAAATAAATCATTAACATTTTTAGAATCAAAAAAATGATTCTGGGCAAAAATAAAATATCTGCAATCCTGAAATTTTTTTTTTCCTTTTGGAATTTTTGTTAAATGTTTGTTTTCAAATTCCACCATCTTGGCTTTACTAATAAAAAATTGTTAAAGTGACATAACTCTGTTACTTTCAATAGCTCATGTTCAAATGAAAAAATTCCTGTTCTCAAATTATTTTCAACTTTACTCCTAGATGTTGTAGCCCAACATATCATGCCATTTTGGAATCAGGCCATCTCCATAAGCAACATAAAAATATTCTGGGCTGGATCTGGACCTGCAATCCTGAAATTTTGGATTCACAAGTTTTCATTACTGCGGTTGTTTTCGGATTCTGCCATCTTGGCTTCTACTGATAAAACCAATTAAAGTGACACAGCTCTGTAACTTTCATGTTTAAATGAAAAAATTACTGTTCTCAAATTACAGTGTTTCAAAATAAAATTGTCCATGTTTTCAACTTTACTTTTAGATACTGTAGCCAAACATATGCCATTTTGAAATCAGGCCATCTCCATAAGCAACATAAAAACATTCTGGGCTGGATCTGGACATTCAATCCTGAAATTATGGATTCCCAAGTTTTCATTACTGCAATTGTTTTCAGCAATTTTTTTTTACATTATACTCGTTTAGTATTTTATAGTCCAATCACAAAAGCTTCCAGTTCACCAGTTTCTGCGCTCCTTGATAAAGAAGGAAACAGACACAAAATTGAAACATCCCCTGCTCCATCTTGCTTGATCGTTTTAGCAATAACCACCAAGAGGTTTCATCTGGTGCCATAGATATTAAGCAGATATATGAGCTTTTTTAATTGAAATTGATATTAGGTAATCTTGAAAAGGATCTTCAAAAATAATTTTTCCAATTAAGTCTAGTAAATCCTAAATTTCAATCAGTTTGCAAACCAACTTCACACTAATTTCTGCATTCCTTCATATGTAAATATTTCCCAAACTTCCTTAACACAATAATTTTAAATGCATTTTTTTAATCAAAATTATTTTGACTTCCCTGTTTTTTTTTCTTAAACTATGAAATTAATATCAACCAGCCTAGAAAACTGTCTGGAGGCACATTTTTATTTTATAGGACTTCCCTAGCAATGACTACTCTGTATTGAATCTCCCCTCTCATTTGTGTTGGTGTGCACCAAAAACTAGGAAAAGACCATTGCAAGCTCACAAGAGAATGAACCCTGTTTCAAGTATATTTCAGTGTTTCTTTCAGGGCTTCACTTGGTCAATCAGGATGAGTAGGTAGGTAACATTTAAGACAAATTGGTAATGACACACTTCAACTATAGGAGTGGTTCTCCTGACGGGATACAGATTTGATTCCTGTCCAGAGGCATAATTTTCTTTATTAGGATTTCGCAACCAAAGACAGTCAATATTAATTTCACTGTTTCAGAAAATAAAAAACAAGGATGTCCACTTGTTTTGTTTACCAACTAAAAGTATCAAAATTATTTTTTCTTTTTCAAGGCAATAATGCCACTAAGATGCAAAAAATTACTGGGAATGAAAGAAAATGGAAAGACAGAAGGAACTTGAAAATTTTCCTAAAATTTAAATTCTGATAAACCTTTACTCCTGTTCAAAAGACCAAGACAGAGTGTAAACAGGATTATAGGCAAACCTATCTACTCTTATTGAAAAAAAAAATATAGGCAAACATGGACCTTCATGCTTGCAATAAGACAGTTTCAAAAAGACGTTTTTTTCAATGATACTGCTTTTTTAACTAATTTCCCTCCTCACCAATGTTTATGGCTCTAAAATGCAGTGATTAGAATTGTAGTAAAACTTAAACATATGAAAGTGAATTTATACATTTTTTGTTCATGGGAATTGATAAAAAAAAAGAATAAACACTATTTATCATATTATTTATTGGAATGGTTGGCAAATTGCCAATTGGTTCAAACTTTAATAAAATGGTAAATAATGATTTCCTTATAGTTGGTTCCAATATTTTAATAACTTAGTAAATGTTTATAAATTTATGAATAAAAATTGTTTTCATATTTACTTCTTCATAAATTGGTAAATGATAAATATTGCATTTTACTAGTTTTTAGAATGTTGTAAATATAAAATTACTCTTGTAAATAAACAATCTAATAAATAGTGTTTAATATTTTTGTTGTAAATTCTCAAAAACAAAAAATGTATAAATTCACTTTCAACATAGGTTTAGGTTTCATTACAATTCTAAGCATTGCTTTTTTTAAAACAATAAACATTACTGAGGAGTGAAGGTAGTTAAAATAAAAGCAGTGTCATAGGAAAAAAGTGTCCTTTGACACTGTCTTAATACAGGCACAAAGGTCTATGTTTGCCAAAATTAAATAAAGAGTAAATAAAATTTCAGAGATTAGGCAGAAACATTAGAAACAGAGAGTTGAAGTAGACTTTATAAGGAACTGGACACCCAATCCTAAACAAGAAACAAGGGATAAACCTCTACTCCTGTTCAAAAGACCAGGGGAAGAGTGTAAACCAGACAATAGGTAAACCTATCTACTACTTTTTATGGTAATAAGAAATAATGTCAGATTAAAAAAATCTATTTAAAACTTATAGAGAAGAATAAGATTACAATGGATTTTATTTCAAGAAATTAGAATGTTTGAAAGTATATATCGATCCTGCATGGTATCAACAGTTCAGGCTGCTGGGTGGTGGTGTAATGTTATGGTAAATATTTTTTTGATATACATTAGGAACCTTGATACCAATAAAAGATTGTTTAAATGCTGCAGGCTACACAGGTATTGTGGATGACCATGTGACTCAAATTTTTTTTTAAGAAAACAGAACTTTATCAAATCCATGCTAAGAACTTCAGTAGTTTCTAAAGGCAAAAAATCAATAACCCAGTAGTATACATAATAAAACGGATGGTGTATATTGTTCTGTTACCACAGAACAATATACACATGGCCGAGTGGTTAGAATGTTTGCATTCTGGCCATGAGACCTGGGTTTGAATCTCACCATGGTCAATTTGTCAGTAAGGTGATTTCTTGATGTTATCAAACTGGAGGAGTCAATTCCAGCATGCACCATGAAAAATACACCATACCATTAGTTGACCCAAACCTTAAAGTGAAATTGGGTAGACAGAACTCTTGGGCTTGTCGGTAGCTGTGCTAGCACAAAGTCACAAGTCATTGTGGCCAAGGGCTTGTGTGTACTGGCCTTGTTCAAATTGTTGATCATGCTAGATAACACACTCTTTCCCAGAAACTGTAACTAAGGTCTGCAGTATAAACCACAGGTGGGTTCTATGGGTGTTGAATAAACACAAATGTGCCTGAGCAAGCGTCTGCAACAGGGATTGACTAACTGCCCTAGTAGACAGGTGTCC